CTCACAATCAGGTCCTGAGTCTGATTTTTTTTTTTTTTCTAAACGACACTTTGTCCCTCTGGATAGTCAATAAAGTTTTTTCTCTCTCGTTTTTCACTTTGTCTTTCAGTTTGGATAATTTCTCTCTTTAGGATGAGTGGTATGTTATTTTTCATGAATTTCCAAAGCATTTGGTTTGAGTGTTTTTTTAAATAACCCTTTTTATTTTGGAATAATTTTAGATTTATAAAAAAGTTACAAAGATAATACAGAGATTTCTAACTTACTTCTCACCCTGTTTCTCCCTTTGTTAGTATCTTACATTTCCATGGCCTATTTGTCAAAACTAAGAAATGTACATCAGTTCATTGTTATTAACTAAACTCAAGATTTTATTTAGAATTTACCAGTGTTTAGTTTAATGCCCTCTTTTTTTTTTTTTTCCAGGAACCAATCCAGGTGTGTCAGGGATCCTCAAGACCATTCCCAGGTTCAGTGATTTGCTAGGTCTCATTGAACTCAGGATACAGTCATTCTCATACTATGATTTATTACAACAAAAGGAAACAAAACAAAATCAGCCAAGGGAAATGGCACGTGGGGTAAAGTCTGGAGGCACATGCTTCCAAGAGTCCTCTCTCAGTGGAGTCAGTCACACAGGACATGCTGATTCCTCCAGAAATAAGTTGTGACAACACATGTGACATGTCTACCAGGTAGCTTATTGCCGATTCAATGCCTAAGGTTTCTTATTGGGGGCTAGTCACACAGGCACCCTCTACATGCACCTAAATTTCCAGACTCTCAGAAGGAAAGCAGGTGTTAAGCACACATTACATTGTTTGTAAAAACAGTTGAGGCACCATGAGCCGTTCTTATTAGGGAATTGTGGCAACTTTCTTAAAATCTAGGTTCCCAGATACCAGTCAAGGGCCAACCTTGCAAGCAGGCCTTTCTAAAGATAGCAGTCTCAGGCCTGCTATAGTAAATCTTTTCCTGCATACCAGGGTACCATATTTCATTTAGTTGTCATGTCTCCCTAGTTTCAGGCCTGTGACAGCTTTTTAGTCTTTCCTTGCTTTTCATGGTGCTAACTAGATTTCCTGTAGACTGTCCTTGAATCTAGGTTTCTCTGATGGCTTTCTCATGCTTAGATGGGTGTTATGGGGATTTGGAAAGAACAC